AAATCTCTCCAAAACTAAGAATAAGAAAAATCTCACATCCAAAACTAAAATAGTGACTGCTGGAGGGTTGGAAAACTTAGGTAAAAAAGTACGGTCTATTACTTATTTCCTTGACCTTCATCCTGAATCATGGAATAATGACACTTTTCTGGAGAAACACTTATGTGAATGATCTGATGAAAATGTTGTGGGTTTTGTTCCCCTGAAATGGTGAACACTAGCAACTGTATCTTAGAAAAATCTTAAAAACATGATTGAATTTGGCATTAACTTAGAATAATTTGTGACTTCGTATAAGTCAAAATTGTCCATCCTCTCATATTTCTGAAGAAGTAAAAACATTTGGACTAGCTCAACTTGACACCTATAAGCTTGTGTGTTACTCCATAAACAAAATAATGACAATCCTTTATGAAGGGCTCTGGACATGACTGAAAGAATCAAAACTACAGAATTCTACAGAATAGCAGTATTTCATAAGCTCCAAATTCCTCATATAAGACTGAGCTCGAAATATAACAAGTGTTTTATTTCAATTTTTATATTGAAGACATTAGTGTTTATAACTACAGAGTAATAGACAGCTTTGAAAGAAAAACCCAACCAAACAACCCCAAACACCTGCTTTACTGTCCGCCTTAACAACAGCAGATAGAGCGAGACAGAAATCTGCAACTGAGGCACAGGATCAAGTTCCAACCAGCCCACAGAAGGAAATACTGCTAATACTCTTTACAGTGCATTTGTACAAGACATTTTGTTAGACTGTCAAACAACACAAAACACTTTCAGGAGGCTTTAACCTCTCTCTGCTTAATACTGAATTTTTGAGAATATTTTCAAGTGAAATTTAAAAACGGCAAGATGATAAAGTTTCTCTGTAGGTGTAAATATAAAATGAAAAATCCATTTGTCACAGAATAAGTATTAGTTACCAGCTAAGGGTGTCTACTGCAGAAAAATAAAGGGAATTTAATTCCTGCTTAAAAATTTCATGTACTCTATAATTTCTATAATACTTATTTTCTCTTTCCAGGAAACAACCAATATGCCTTTTACCGTGTCTCAGCCACGTGTGGCAGCACAGATGCTGCTGGAAAGTAACCTTAAGACACAGTTAGATGCAAAGCCCTGCACTGAGATCTGATGAAATACATTGATGCTCTCTACCATCTATTTTTAAACTGTTCCTATAAACCTCAAATGAAGGAGATGCCATTGTCTCCCAGAGGTGATCTGCTGTATTTAACCACTTTAATAATTAAATTTAAAAAAAAACCCCAAACTTATTTTTCATGCAAGTTAGAAGAAAAAACAAAAAACGCAGACGACTTCGAACTTGAGGATCTGGCATAAAAAGATGTGAAGGAAGTGGAAATCAAAGCACTGTCCAACTCTGTTTGGTTTATACTTCCTAATTATTAAAATTTATTAAAAAAAGAGAGAAAAGCAGGCTATTTAAAGGCAATCAAGTGAAATCATTATACAACTACTCATAAGTGTCCTGACAGCCATTCCGATTTTTGAAAGTCATTACAATAACCTCAGTAAAACACAGCAAGTTTAAACAAACAGGGGTATATCAGCTACTATAAGACAGTATTGCCAAATGCCACGGCATGCAGTATTTTCCATAAGGCCCACCTGTTGAAATAATGTGAGAACATTCACTTTCTGATACATGCAAGTTTGTAGCCTTCAGGGAACAGCTAGGAAACAAACATACTATGAAGGCTCAGAAAACAAGTAAAAACTGGCCCAAATCCACAGTTCAAAATCATGCAACTTTACATACATGCCATAGGGTAGTGGGGGGAAGAGATAACTGTATGTATTTATTGTTTTTGAGCAACCACAGTTGGAAATACAAAGAGGAAAGGATCTGTGAGGGGAACTTCATATACTCACTTTTAGTTAATGTCTGAAGATCTTCAACAGATGGAGGTCCATTTTTCTTCTCATAAGGAATGACGGTTGTTAAGTACTGTCAAATGAAAAAGAGAATTACTCGTTAGTCCTTTCATGCAATTTATGTTGCTTATACTTTATTTAGAAGTATTGTAGCAATTGAAATTGCTGGCCACCAATAAAAGCTTTTCAAAAGATTGTATTTCACAAGACATTAAGATTCTACCTTTCCTATCCCAAAGCTTTTATCACAGAAGCCAACTTTTTTTTTTTTTCAAATTATGGGACCAATTTAGAAGTTGTGCAGCTAAACACTAAAAAAAGTATTTTTTCAATTTTGAAAATATTTTTCAAACTATTTCTTAAAAAAAAAAAAAAAAAAAGAAAAAAAAGTATAAATATCATGCAAGTGTCACCAGTCACATCCAAAATCAGAAAGTAATTCTTTCTTCCTAGGAAGTACATTAAAAAAAAAAAAAATCTTTCCAGGTATATATTGATGTTGCCTTCAAATAATTTGGGAAACTGAGAGCAGTCAGCTTTAAGCTGACTGTTTAGTGGGATCGTGCACCTCATGCCCAGTCATATCCTCTAAAAGCCAGATGGACTCAGTTGTAACTTAAGGGAACATATTGTATGGGATGTTCTGACATCTTACCAAGACCTTATGCAAACACAGGGTATTCTTCTCCCTCCCTTTTCCTTTTGCGTTTTCTCACATCCATTTAGCACAGCAGAATAACGTATACAACACTTCTTAGGAAACAGTTAATTTTCAATTTCTTTTCCAGCACATGTAACCAACAGGTATCATTAGAGAACTACATTCTTACTAAAATTACCAGAATCTATAGCTAGATATAAGGCTGTTAAATCTACAAATGTCAGGGATGAAAGCAGATCTACTAACTCAGAAATCAGATCACAGGCTGTTATTTCCAGCCTTCAGAACTAAGTGGTATTTTACCCCTTACCAAGAAAATAAATTACTAGGACATGTTTCACTGGACCAAATACAAACATTTTCTGTTTTCCTTCTCCTGCAAACTCCACCTTACAATGTTCCTCTCTAACAGTAATAATTAAAAAAAAAAAAAAAAGTAATTTCTTTCTTAGTTTCTGGAAATCATCTTGTTTTTCTCAACAATACTTTACAGCCGTAACAATGTCTCTATAATAACACAATAAAAACTCAATTCCTTGAATTGTTGTGTGAAGGATAACAAACTACGAAAAGGAAGAAAAAATTACTGAAGTGTAGCTTGCTTACATGCCCAAATGTTGTTTACTGTGATCTCTACATTTTTGAAGCAGATTTGACAATATGATAAGCAGCAATTCCCACTGCAATTTGTAATCACCCATGAAAAGCATTCGATATTTGTAAAAATCAAAATGATTAGGACTATCTTGAATTTTCTTATGGAAATATCACAGGAAGAGCTACCAACTTTTCAATGGCTTTTATGCAGTTGGTGGTGTTTTTTCCAACTGCATTATCAGATGGGAACAGGTAGTTCCCACTGGAAGTTTCTCTTTAAACACCAAAAAATTCTAAGTTATTTTCACTTATGTCTTACACACACAAAAAAGGACTAAAATTTTAAAAAGGAAAGTACCCAGTATCAGAGTAATACTACCCAGAAAATAGTAAAGGCAGTAAACACTACTAAAATTAAAGCCTGAAAAGAGTTCTGAAATAACTATACAAACTTGTCATAAACTTTATGTTGCGACTTTACATGTATGAACTTCTGCCTTCTAAGGTACACAAAAAATTGTGTCTCCTTGCATTTTTTTGAGCACAACTCCAGATTATTAACTCTTCTCTGCTAGCAGAAAACACCTGAATGTGAGTTTATAATGACAATACACCCTGAAAAAATGCTCAAATGAATATTCTGAGAGCAGCACTAAGCAACTGAGCATCTGATACTTTTTTCCTTTGCAACTTGCTGCAATAAGGACACAGTATTTTAAAAGCAAGGCCAGAGTATGGTAATGTGAAAAAAACCCCCAAATGCCATAGAAAAAGGGATTTCCAGGACTAAATCATAAAAAAGCTGGTATCTTTCCTACCTTTCTCACCATTTTTCATTTTAAGGTCTTGTTATTTCCATGACTGGCTTTAGGATACAGGAAGGGGACAAAAAAACCCATAACCTTGCTAACAAGGATATAGTATAAGGTAAATCAGGGAATAGTATGATCAATATGAAGAATAACATTAGTAAACTAACTGAAAAAATGACTGGAAAAGTTATCCAATCAGTGTTAACACATGATTATGCTACTTATGTCTAAAAAGTTAGGAGGCAGTCAAAGAAGAAAAGGTGTTATTTGAATAGAGACATACATAGAAAAGAAGCCTTTTAACCAAAAGTAGGAGAGGCTGGCATAGCTAAATATGTTCACTTTATGAAAATACGTGATATTTAAAATAGCTAAGGATACAGATAAAGAACTAAACATCTGCAATTTATTAAATTGTAAAGATAGCAAAGAAAAAAAACGAGCACAGCTATTACTTTTACCAGTATTGAGATAATGTAGAGTGATAAAAACTCTGTTAGGTAGGCTCTGTGTATGTGTTCAAGATCCCCAAAGGTGCAGACAAATAGCTGAATCTATGTATTCATGAACATAGTATATACACATACTATGTAATAAGTAATACATATAATACATAATACATATACCTTGCTTGAGAAAGAAGGCAAGTCCATGATTTCAAATCTCATGATTCAGGAATGACTTGAAAGGAGTTGTTTTACCTCCCAAACTCCTCTGCAAGATACTCCAGTCATCTTCCAGACAAAAGCCTAATCAGTTATGACTTTTAAAGTACCAGGCAGTTTATTGCCTCAATGGACTTCTCACCAGGGTGCAGGGAGCGGGTGGAAATCTAACACACTCCTCTGACACAACTGCATTAACTATAATGGGTGGGTATGCATTCAATAAGGTGAAATACCAGTATTTTGTAATATGTGCCAAAAGCCTAAACAATAGCATATGCATTAACACTTTACCAAAATACAGAATGCATTTAATAAAATACATACTACAGTTCTGAAACAAACCATTAAGTACTACTTTGAAATAAAGCATAAGAATCTTGCTACTGAAGGTGTATGTAACATCTACAGTGATACCCACTGAAGCTGGGTCTCTGTGCTGTATACTTCAACATTTAAATAGTCAGTGAAAAGACACAACCTTGCCTATGGCTTATGTAGTTTCTATCAGTAGTCTGCATTGCACACATTTGGCTGCTTTTAGCATCATGCAGTTTTCAAAGGCAAAAAACCATACAGTAGAGTCCATGCATTTTCTAGATGCTACTCTGGTTTTAGATATATCAGCTTTGAACATTTGAAGAAAAAAGAAAACAAAAACCTTTTTTCAGTCGGAGATATTACCCAAATCCTTAATGCTGAAGGCTGAAGTGTTATGTCTAACCTGATACATAGTCTTCGATTGGCTCTTAGATTTTTACAGACATGCAATGTGTCTGAAGCATGCATTATGCCAAAACAGACTTTTAGTGCGGGGTAAGAAATAAGTAAAGGTTTTTATTTCAGTGCATCAAGATATCAAGTCCTGACTGTCTCAAGCTGTTGGGGAGAGAAAGAGAATTTAGGCTGATCAGAGTCCAGAGGCAGGGGAAGAGTACAATTTTGTCCTGATTTTTCCTGTCTCAGCATGTCTCTTCAACTACTGTCCATTTTCAAGATCTCAGCTCCTACCAAAAGTGCAGGCAAGAATGAGGAAATGACAGAAGATAGCCCAGCACCTGTTTCTCTCCACCAGAGTTTCCAAACGTGTGGCGGAAGCCATTCTGTATGACATTTGAGATCCCTTCCATGCTGAAGCGCTAAAAGTAGTGAAAACATAGCAGAAAGAAAAAAGGGACAGAGAAAAGTTCAGAAGACTATTAATCACCATTTATCAAGACTATAAAAGACAAATGACAAAGACAAGCTCTAAGATGTATTTCAGCACATTTCTATTTTTTCATTCACCTACTTCATTTTTATAATGAAAAAGCAAACCTTATAATAGCAGTTTAGCAGTAGAGCTACATTAAAATTTAATCAAACAAAATCTTCACACTGCAGACCCAATAATTGAGACATGCCCTTTAAGGCCGTTTAATTTTGAAATGTAAAAAGTAGTATTTTTGAAAGTTTAGTTCACAGTACAATCTGCTTTAAAATTTGTGTTTGAGCAATATACTTTTTGAGACACTGCTCATACCAATTTTTCATATTTTAAGCACCTACTAGAAACACTGTTCAGAGATAGCAATTTTCAGCTCTACCACTTCAAATCATTTTATCCTTTCATGCTTCCTTTTCCACAACTGAAGCAACAAATAGCTATCAACTGTATTCCCCATTTTTTGTAATATGATAAAATACATGCAATTAGTTAATAACACACCCATATTAATTTCAAACTCCATTACATAGGATCATGGAATCCAAATAAAGAAAAATATATAATCCAACCACAGGTTTTTTTCCTTGAACTTTTTTTTCCTTGAACTTTGTAATCCTTTTTGCTTGCTGGAGACAAGAAGTAAAAAAAAAATCAAACCAGTTTGATGTTTAGCATAAGGTATAAAAATCAGCTACTGACAAGAACATGGAAAGAAGAAACTGTCAAGCTGCTGACACAGGGCTGTAAGATGTGCAGACCTCAGCATGCTTAGCTGGATATATTTATTTATTTATGGGAGAATAAAATGTGCTGGAATACAGTATTCATTCGCTTTCTAAAGCACAATGTCAGTAAACAGACACAGATGTTGCCAAAGCCATCTTAACTCTTTTAAGATATCCTACTCAAATGAACTGGTATCTTCAAGCTCTGACTTAATTACTGACTTTAATTAGTCCCCAGTTTGCCCATATGAGGTAAAGGTTTTAGGAGTCTAAGAAAGTGATTTACTCAAAGCCTGTATCATGGACAAAGAATTACCACCTCTGTTTATTAAACTATAGCATGTACAGGAGAATTGATTTTCTTAAGAGCATGAAAGTTTAACCTTCGTTCCAAGCTTCGTATTTAAATGAGACTTCATTATAGTTTTAGTTAATAAAATTATTAATTTATACATTAGTTATTAACAGAAACTCGCTCTTCACAAAGTTACTTGAACATACTATCTGTATACACACTCTCAGCACTTCCTTAAAAAAACAAGAAAAGAGTGTTGAAGGAAGGAAGTTTGCACCTCTTTCAGGAGAAGGCTCTCAAAACTGTACTTGGTGATAGTGAAGGGAATTTTCAAAGGAAACACACACATACAGCCTACAGTCTTATTTGGGAGCTAGTTTGTTCAATCCCTCTCAGAATCTAAGCAAGCAATCTGACACATCTGTATCTTGCAGCAACCAAGTATGGAAGTGTCTTACATTGAGACCATGTACAGTTATACCTGAAAGCATCATTCAAGTCTCTAAACTTGAAACTCACCAGAACAGCTTTTGAATCACTTGACTCAAGTTGCAAAACCAAATAATAATTTTTCTTTCTAGTTAGAATACCACTTTTTGTTTTTCCATGACTGAGAATCAAAAAGGAGTACATTTGAACTTTTCACCGTGCTCTTGCAAAGGGATGACAATTTTGTATTGATTTCCAGACACATACTTTCTTAGAGTTCCATTAAAACCTAGCTATGTACCCAAAAGATGACTTTCATCACATGGACAAGATCAGAACTCCACTGAATTATGTCACAGGCATCTTATTCTTATAAGTTTAGAAATAAATTTTGAAGAATTAGTGTTTCATTACAAATGTTTATTTCTCATGTTTGAAAAACAAACCCAAAAACTTTCTGATGTCAAACTGAAGCATTCTTTCTGGGACTTAGCCAAGATCTCCAATACATTAACCACATTTTCTGCATGCTATAAGAGATGTTTAGAAATTGTAACATTAATATCCCACTTCAGTAATTTAAAATTACACTAGACAGTTAGGAAAGAAAAAAAAAATAAAAATCACATTGACAAGATAATAACCTAATTTCTTTCATTCTCTGCCTCCTATTATTCAAACTGTTTGAAATATATTTTTCCTTTTGTTGCTACGTTCTGTAAAAAATAAAGAAAATTACCTCCTCCCTGTATACCTGCACTTCATTTTGGCCTCACCCCTGTCTTTTGTTGGCCATACTAATTCTGCCACAGGTTTCAAGAGACTGAGGATAAGACTTCTACTTTTTTCCTACCTAAAACCCAACATGATCAATAAATATTTGTACAACTACACCAAAAATAATACTGAATTTCCTGTAAGACTAACAGTGGTACACACATACTAAAATTCACACACTGAAACCAAACAGATAAATGAGCTTGCCTACTGACAACAGAACACACAGCAGTACATCCAAAGACAGTAGTTTTGTGATCTTGCGGGGGAAAAAAAAAAATTCTCAATAGGACATGCCTAAGCCTTGTCTGCAAATGAAGGCATGGAAGCAGGTGTACCAGGTATCTTGATGTAATCTAGGACTACTACTTCCCACATGGAAAAAGTATTTTTTCAATCTATAAATAGTTACAAAAATTTTCTTACTGTTCCAGGCATATGACCTTTTTCCTGTTTGCCATTCTGAGGACTACCATTTTTCTGCTTCTTTTTCTTCTTTGCCGTTTCTTTGTGTTCTCTCTGTTTGTTTTGTACTTCGATGAGGACAGAAATGAAGCTGTTTTTCACTTCCTTCTCAAACTCCAACTCATCTCGTAGAGCCAACTGCTGTACCAGTTCCTCAGAATAATCCTTAATAGCAGTCTCAATTTCTTCTAGCAGTTCATTTAACTCAGCAACAGACAATCGTTTTACTCCTATAAATAGTTCATATAAAAAGCAATCTGTTAAGATTTTAAACATGCGAATATTTGTAGGAATTACAAGAAAAAAGTACTCTGAACTTTAAAAAAAAATTCAATTCTAAACCTACATAGAGCAAAACAATATTCCTAATGGAATAAATACATCACAGAAGCAACTAGATTAGCAACAAGAAGACTATTAAACTTTCTTCTTATTTCTGAGAAATCTGAGATAATCTGCAAATATGAAGAGCATGTTGTAGTTAAGGAAGCTGAAGTAAGTGCTAAACTTCTGACACCTCTGTATAACTATTGCTTTCCATCTAAACTCACTGTTCAAATTAAAAGGTCTCCATATTTTCTGACACAACAATCAACACTTTGGCATTTCTGGAATGCTTGGATTTTTACAAGTTAATTCCAAGATAATTACAGTAATCCAGTAATTATACTCTATGAGCGAGTGAATTTTCTTGGGAATATTGCTAAGGTATGTATGCACGCATATTAATAAAAGCTTGCACCAAACTTTTACGATAAGATTTTTCAATGCATTTTAGAAAAAAACAACAAAATGCTCCGAAGTTTCTTTGTCTGGGGATTGTAATCAAAAGCGTGGCCTTGTTTTGACCGAAACAAGGACATAGATCAAAACTAGCTGACAGTCTCATTTCAAGCAAAAATAAGCATTAATAGTTTTAAGAAAGCATGAGACTGAATTCGTCAATGCTAAACCAGAAGCCTGTGAAATGCTAGTTTGGAAACAAAAAACCCTTCAGGTTTGCATTTTAAAGGTACTGTTGGGTCATGTGTTACATACAGTGAAATTATGACCAAGAAGAATGTTCTGAGGTCGCTTGGGTTACAAGTGCGCACGTTCTTTCAGGACTGCTTTCCACTCCCATTTAAGTCTGACACATCTAGGAAGCTAGTTAAGTCCCAGCAGCTGCTATGTCAAAGAACATAATTTTCATCGGCATTTGAGAAACAGCTAGTTCTGGTTAAACTGAAGAGTATAATTGTCTAATTAAGGACACTGCATAGATATTTGTAATTATTTGGTTGCATTGAATTAGTCTAGTATATGTTATGTCTAAGAAAAACTGTTATAAATGAAAGTACCTATGGACAAGTGTTGGAAAACACAGATAAGGCCACAAACTACAAAAAAGTATAGTACTTAGAAGCATCAAAGTTGAAACATGATTTTCCCTCTTAATTTACAGCAGGGAAAATGGATTGGAGAAATCTCCTTGTGACTTATTTACTAAAGAAAAAGCAATGAAACCTGTTAAGACAATGGTCCGTAAAGGAGCCACAGTTTTTCAGAGTAGCTGAGGCCTTAGACTGTGTTCAAACACTGTAACAGTACCATATGCTTAAGGATCTAAATTCCAAGTAGGTTGAACCATCCATCGCCTATACTGTTGTTTAAACTATCCTAAGTATGCAGCATGCAGGTTATGGCCTCTACTTGTAACATACACATCTTGTGTATGGGACATGTGGTATGTGGTACATACCACATTAGGTCTTAGCGCAACAATAACTTCTTGCAAAGTCAGCTCTGGTTGTCAGCAACAGCAAATAGCAACATCAACTCAAACATAAGCAGGGGGAAGAAAGGTAAATTCAGCGACAAGATTATCTGGTGCTCTGTGGGTACAAGAATAGGCTTTACAGTCTGTGAAACTGAGTATACTCTGTGGTAAAAACTAGTATAAGTTCCACATGCATTCAGTACAAAGGACAATCTAAAAAGCATAGGTTGCACCACTGTGTTGTTTTTGTGAAAGAAGACTAGAGAGAGAACCAGTGAGTCCGAGAACCAGCTTCACCACCTAAGCAACAATCGTTCCAAAAATACAGATGCAGATTACCCAACTGCTATCCTAACTTGTTTATGATAGATCAGTTGTTGTGATCAAAGCCTACAAAAGGGCTTCACAGGAACTACTCAGCAGGTGAGTGAAGACAGACTAATTCAAACGCAGAAGACTACTTTGATTAAATCTTAGTCATGTAGGCTAATAAAGGACTTGCCTGTGTTGCCAAAGCTGTAACTGGTTTTATTTTTGGACTGTCTTAATATATTGTCTTTTCCTATCCAAGAAAAAAGTAAATACAAGCTTTGTTTTCCCGTTCTCAATCCTAAACATTAACACCTCTGACTTGTCTTATAAAAGCCAGACAGTTTCTAGGAAAACCCTGCAACAATTTCAGAGATGCAGACTAATTCTGAAGCAGTTTCGCACACAAAAAAGGTAGCAAGAGTTTTTCATAAAAGTGACCTGAAGGACATGACAGCAGATTCTGAGAAACTGGTGAAGCAAAGTTAAATTATCTGCCAAAGTAACTCAATGCATTGTTTGGTCAAGGCTGACCTTTAAATCATAAAGATGCAACAGAAAAGATGAACTCCTGAGGCAAAGCAAAATAAATATGATATGAAATACCAAGCAGGATTGATTAGCTCCAAACCTAAGGACATATGGAACTGTCAGAAAAGCAGGAAGCCCTGCTGAGCAGGATACACTTTGCTTTCACATTCCTGGAATTTATATGTTGAGACAGCCAAGAATCCAACCATGAAAATGGAGTCTCCTCCATAAATCCGAAGTGTAGCAGAAACTGTAAGTCATGTCACAAAAGCTCAGCCAGTTTTCTGAATCTTTTACAGAATTTATATTGCTGGCTCAGACTACAGGAAAGAAAGCACCAAGCTTTGCAAGAGTGACCAAAGTAGAAGGATCATCTAATAAATACTCTTTGTGTTCCTATCATCTTCTAGAATTGATTTTGACAAATATGCAGATGAAAAATCTCCATCATGAAATTAATCACACATTTCTTTTACATTCCATTCAACCTACTACAATTAAACTATACATGTAATTTCTCCTTTCCTTTTATATAGGGAAGAACAGATGGTTTCACTTGAGTTGAAGAAGATTCAAAATTTAGAATAAACTTTGTAAGTTGACAAAGTCTTCTATTTATGTTCCAAATCCTAGTTTATCCTTTCAGGGAATTTTGAAAATATTTTTGAATGCAGGTATTTCATAAGAAGGACTTGCTATAAATCAAACACATGGCAAACTTACCCTTTAAACTATTTTCAATAAGCATAGAAGCAAAATACTGAATAAATATATCACTTACTCTCTTCATAGCTGTTGTTCGTACTGGATCTCTTGAGTGTCTGAATTTCCTGGGAAAGTATGGAGAGCCGATCTGATTGGGTAGGTGTTTCATCATCTTCGGGATCAGGCGATTCCTGCATCATTTCCTCTATTTCTTCAATTACCTTCAAAAAATGAAAACCCTTATGAAAACCCTCTCTGGACAAAGAGAAACAGCCTGCGATTTGAAGCAAAGCTGTTAAGAGCTTAAGGCTTGCTTTTTTAGCTTTCAATTAGCAAAGATGCTGCTGGGTGAAACTAATACGACGGCTGGATTGAGAAGAATCAACAAAATAATATTGACATTTCCTCCCCATCCTGGCTCTCTGGGAAAAAGCCTACCTCTTCAAGGTAAATTGGTAACATGTAACAAGTAATGTATTGAAACTACAGAGTTATTTCTATATGAAGGTACACAGGGTTCTGCCTAGAGAACTGAACTAAAGAATGAGCTGGAATATCTTTTCTGAGTATTTAGTTAAAGGAAAACAAAAAAACCCAACAAAAATCAATACTGCGCCCCCTCCCATTTCACTACACCTCTCTAAGCAAAATAACAACAACAAAAAAAGTTCTGAATAACCTGAAAAACTGTTGTGCTTATGAGAAGTTTTATGAACTGATCCATCATAACCTGAAACTGATTCATATTCCTCGGCATAAGACCTAAGCCAGACGGAAAGTATGAGAACAGAAATCCTGTGCATAAGAGCTTACTTTGCGGTATAGAAATGACCATATTTCTACAGGCTAAATTATTAACTGACCAGCGGAACAAATAAAAAGATCAACTTTCACAGGTTTGAAGGCTGTAGGCATTGCTGAGATCTGCCCCACTGTAAAAAAGAGCAGCAGCAGTTGAAGTTATCCTGCCTCCAGTACTCTTAACAACCACGTTCACCACAGTTCACACAGGAACTATTTAAATAACAAGGAAATACACTGTTGCGTTTCCTCACTAAAGCAGGATCTTAATGGCCAGTCGTTAACCTTCCTGAGAAGGGCAATTTTCAAGAGAATTTAAGTAAATCCATGGATTCCAAACAGAAGCCTTTAGACACCAAGCAATTTGAAAGCTGAGTAGCAGAACTGTTGATCTGCTCTCATATTAGGCAAAAACTTCAAACAATTCTCACTAACCACAAAGCCATGTGAAGATATGAATGGCCATACAGTCATGCTGGAAAACTATGAACTCCACAATACCACAAACATTCTGAAAATATTTTTCTTCTTAACACATGTGTTTCATTTAGTAGTATTTCTGACTAATTTGTGGGAAGAAATGTATAAAGATTTCAAAGACCCTGGACTATCAACCTCACCTGAAGCATCTGAAATACTTTTCAAATCTGAATGACTTAGTAACATCTCACACATTATTAGGACCCTAAATAAAGAACAATCAAGAAGCTTAGCTTTGGTACAGCAAGGAATAAGAACAAAAAATAATTACAGATTAAAAGAAAATACAATATCAACAACACTATCCTTGATGAATACTTTACCTGCTCTGCTGTGAAGAGTGGTTCATCATTGATGCAGGAAACAATGATAGAATGCATATCCAACTGTTCTCTTAGCTCTTCGTCATCTGACAGGTCAAGGTTCAAGTTATCGTTTACCTAGAAAGCATGAAAATTTTTTTATATATATATACACACACATACACACACACACACAAAATACATTTACATATATAAAAACCAAAAGGGGAATGAAACAGATTCTTTGCCCGTAATAATGGAATCAATTATTCTTGCTGTCAAATATCGGGAAACTAAAGTACCTTAACAACCAAAATCAAAACTGCAACTGGAGAAAATTAAAATAGCTGTCAATCTTTCAACTCTTTAAATACCCTCAACATATAAAGATCATATACACAATAACATGCAGACACTTGCATGGAAAGCAGTCAATCCAATGTAGATATTTAGATCTTAAATGAAGATAGACATTTGTCAGTGTGGGGTAAAAAGCTATCTATAATCTCTAACATTACACAAACCTGTTATTTTACATGTTTTTATAGTTCTACTTTTTCACATAATGAAAGACATGAAAAAAAGTTGTTTTAAAAAAACAGAATATTGTTATATCCCCGTTTGTTTTAAAAATATATTGTTGAATATCTCAGGGTCTTTTCAAAAAGAAACACAAGTAACACTGTTCCCACACATAGATCATCAAATTACACTCATCCTTCAAAACCAAAGATGTACATAAAGTAAAAGATTTAAGTCTCCTCCTTCATCAGTCAGGTATATTTTACTCTCACACAGTGATATATTCTAGTTTATTTGCAAAGTTGTTTGCTTTTTCTGCACTTCGTCTATTACGGGATTCCAGCCAAACCAACCCAGAAAAGCCCCCCAGCCCCCAAAAGCTGCAACCCCTAACTTTTGACATTTTGAGTCTATCGGTTTAACTGATCTTTGGGCTAATTTACAAGCATTATGACCAGCTGTAAAGTCCTTGGTCTCACCATATCAGTTTTCAATTTTTGTTGCAATTCCTCCAATGTTCCTGTTTTCTTCAGAATAGTTTTAAGATTCATTTAAGATTCGTTTCACTTAATAGTTTTCAGATTCATTTTGAAGACAGTACTGATATCCACAGATAGCTAATCTATTGGGGAAAACATACTATTTGTATATTTTCAGCCATCACAATGAAGTCAAACGTCCACTTTTTTCTAGAATCTGAATTCCAAGAAACATGCAGTGACAGGGCTCCACTAAGAATATTTGTTCATCTACTGCACAGATACATCCCAGTTTTGACATTCTTTAACATCTGGAGTCCTCAAATGTTTTTCCATGTATATAGGATTATGACAACTGTGGGATAGTTAAGCAAGGATAACAGTTTATCTGAGGTCAGCTTCCCCTCCTGACATCTCCAGAAACAACATTTTGAGAGACTATCAGAATATATTCTGATAACTTAGCCTACTAAACCACCTAAACCAGCCCAAACTACAGCTGATGCCAAAAGGACCACCTGGCCTTCCACCAGCCACTCTCCATGCCTGTTTGTCCTCACACTCCTACCAGGGAATGATCTGTTTAAAAGCAATCTAACAAAATTATAATAAACAAGCAACTGCGCAGTCTTGTTCCTTGTACCACTGTATAACACTTCCACCCAACTACTTCTTTCACCATCAGAGCTATACAAATGTGTTCACAGATCTGTGATGTGAAGCAACAAAGATTAGATCAATCAGCCTCATTCATCTTTTTTTTTTTCTTATTAAAACAGGAAGAGAAATACTTTAAGCACAAGTCCAACAGCATATTATTAGTTTCAAACACATCAAGGAAGTGTTGCTTAGCTGTTCGTAGTCATTGTAAGAAAGTTAAAACAAGCTGCTAGCTGGTCCATATGTGTTGCCACATATCCAGAAATACTGCTGAAACACAGAGAAGTAGGAAAAAAGTATGTCAAACGCTCCCAAACAGATGGGCTTTACACATCAAAAGGCATGCCAGGTGGAGGGAAAGCTGAAAAAACTTGAGATATGTTTAATCCATAAACTGATTTTCCCTCTACTGGCAGCATACCTAAGATTCTTTCTAATCCAGCAACACCACTTTACATTTTTAATGTAATTCCTACATAGCTCCTTGCAAAGAGCTTACAAAAACTATATGAAACATTTTTTTTGTATATTATACGTAGTTCCTTATCAAGAAATCTATCAGTCTTCCAGTCCATTTTTCAGTCACACAACAAGGTCACAGCATGGGAGGTTGTAAGTCTTTTTACTTTAAATGTAAGGATTTAATTACTCTAAAACCACTTAGAAGATCAGAACAAAGACTCTAATGAAAATGAGCACAAACACAAGTCAAATTCAAGGGATAATCATCAGATGCAAACTGAGAAAGCAAGCTCCAAATTGCCATCTTCCCTTGCTGAACCCCAAAGTATCCTCCTCAGCAGAACAATCTTTGTTCCTGTTACAGTAAAAAAAAAGCTGTGGATTATATAATGGATGGCAGAAGTCAAAGCATTACCCTATTCGCAGGCTACACACATAGGTATTTTTACAACATAACTCAATTTCACTATGTTTAAAAGATAAGCCACTCATTTCCTCAGAAGACCGGGGAGATGGGAATTCTTCCTAGCTTTTCTTCCTGAAGCTTTTTAATCCACTTTTAAGAAGGTCAGAGGACAACCCTTTTTATAAACCTCTCTGAAGCTCTTCGTTCCCTGCTTCCTCCCCAGACAACTATTCTACTTGTTAAATAAGAAAAACAAACTAAAACAAACTCTAGCACTTTTGTGTCTCTTGGGTCGGTCACCTTTCCTGTAAAAAAAGCCACCTTAGTCTCCACCTGACTGCAGAATGTGATGAATGTAAAAAAAGTCCACACTGGATTTACTAAATCAGAATGCTGCTGCCTCTCTTCCTCCCTTACTCAGAATAGTGTTCAACATGAAACAGACAGTAGGAAGATTTTATGTAAAATGCTTTCTCATTTTGCATTTTTCTTCTGTCATGCTCTGGCTCTAATGAACAGCCACCTAAAACTAAGCCTGAATTATTCCAACCCAAGGAGATGCAAACATACATCAATGGTTGGTTGATTTTTTGATTTTTAAAAACCTCTCATGTATAATACCAAGCACTAGAAATATTTTAAGCCATTTAATAACAACACTCTTTTATACAAATGCAAATTGTTTTATTACCCTGCTGAGTATAAGAGATCCAAAGAGGGTATTTCTGCTGATCAGAACTTACCCCTTTTTCTGAAAGATTTAGTGTTGGCAAGTGCAAAGCTCTGGTGTGGGAAGATTTCCAGTCAACAGGCATTACATTACCATAATTATCAGTCAAAGCATTCCAAATCCTGGAGAGAGGGATAAAGGAACAAAAATGCAAGCCTTAGAACAAGCAGCAACTGATCAGCAGTAAACATACTTGTAATGATAATATATTTCTACCAACAACTATTTTTTCCTCCCTAAATATTCATCTACAAGTTACTGACAATATTTTAATAATGTTTTGAAGCTAAGAAAAAACATTTCTTCAGAAACATAATTTATTGCCCTTTTTAAACCAACATTGTATATACACAAGCGGTGAAATAAAACAGTGCGATGAAGAGGCAGCTTTACTACTAATTATATAACCATACTCAAAATCTTTTTTGGGTGTGGATGAATTTAATGAAGTTTGAGCTCAGCTATAAATTCCTTTCCTAGTGTTGTTCCTGTTTTCCTTGCTTTTTGCACCTTAAAATCAGGAATTAGCAAAGACTGAGTAGCAAATTCTGAGCCAAATATTTTTTTTCTTTCTTTCTATTTATCACAGTATAATGAACATGCACAAGTTACACTAAAATTCTGAAACAATTTTGTTTTATCCAGAAGTACTCTTGCTGAGCTCGGCCCACCATTCTTGCCTACAGTTGATCTTAGTTAAGTCTACAGTGTATAATCTCTCTGGCTGTACTTGAGCCTTGCACACGCAGCCCTATTCTGGTATACCAGGTCAGATTTTGAAAGAGAGCAGCCCTGTTAAGCAGGTTGCTGCCTCAAGCCAGCTAACAAACCCTGCCTCTAAGCACTACACTGTGGGTGCATGTTTGGAGTGGTTGCCTAGATAGGCTTAGGGGAGGTCAGAGGAATGGCTGAGACAGGCAGAGAAGGGCAGACGGAGCCTCATCACTGCACAACATGTCTCTGATTCATGGTTCTCTAACTTACCTCACTTCATACCATAGATATCTCGTCTTTTGCTAAAAGAGGGTTTTTTTTTTTTCCCCTTCACTTGGTATAAGACACACAATTTAGCTACCTCCGTGTAAAGAAAAAATGCAGTATTTTTAATGAAGATAAGCTGACAGAAATTTACTGTAAAGTAACAAGTATAAATACTTGTAAAATATTGTTAAAAACAGGAAGGCAGCATAGATCAGAAAGGCTCTATTGCTCCGGGGAAAAAACAATTAACACAATTGTAACTGAGATCCTGTTCTCCATCTGCTTTCCATACTTTCCATGTTTAATTTCAAACACTGAAACAGCAGGCATTTTGCAAAACGCTAATCAAATATTACCCTCAGTCACTTCGCATTTCAGAACAGCTACTTTTGCGTCCCCCAGGGGTAAGAGGCACAGGGTTGCACGCACACTTCCCTGGCAGTTCGGGGAATGCAACCAGGAGGCTCGATGTCAAACCAGCGCCGCCGGCTCGGCCGCTCCGG